TTGAAAACCTCTCCATAATAGATTCCAAACATAGATAAAGTTTAGTTAATAAAGTATATTTAGATTGTTTAACATGAAACATTATTATTGTTATGTGAATATATGTTTAAAAAAATAATAAAATCCAAACTATTATATTAGTTAAGCATACATTTCTTTGTGAAAAATATATATATTATATTGACATATTGTATTTAATGCATATATAAAAATAATTTTATAATATAATAATACAATGATATTTATATTCTTTTATTTTTTTTAATTCTTTAGATATATATAAATATAATTTTTGTTATATTCATAGAAATATTTCTCCATAACAAAAAAGAAAACATTTTATATTAACAACAAAAAAGAATAAACCATGCATCAACTTCCACCTTATCATCCATGTGGCAATGTTAAAAAATTTTATTGGTTATTTAAAATCTTCAATACCTACATATAATTTAATTAAATTAATATTAATGTTTATTTTTTGAACGAGAAAAATAAGTTTTTAAAAAAATTAGGTGATACAAATAACAAAAAATTAAGTAAAAATATAACAAAAAATTAGGTGGACTCACAAAATTAGATGGAGGAAGGGCGATCGCCCAGTGGAAAGATATAACAGAGGAGTAAACCCGGTGGATGATGCTGATATCGAAGAACTCGACGAACTAGACATTCTGTCATTTTCGATAAGTAAAATATTACTTTATAATTTTGTAAGTTTATATTTATTGTAAAACATTTTAACCATTTTGGTGATTTAAATAGAATTTAATATTATTATTATCATTTAATTTATTAATTAAAGTTTGAATTGATGTGTTTGTTTTAGATTTTTATGTGAAAACATTATTTGTGTACATGGTGTGTATATATATATTGAATAAATGATATTATTATGAGTAATTAATTTCAACCTTACTGATTATAATATCCATTCTTATCAAAGTTATGAATATCGCTAATAACAAACTTCATAAACTTAGTCATTTTTCATTTAATTTATTATTATCTTTAATAAAAGATAAATTAAAATTTTTAAATGTATATAATAAAATTTAAATTGAAGTTGAATCATTTAAATGACAACTATATGTTATACATACAGGATGTGTATGAAGAAATAATGTTTGTATATATGTATGTATCTATGTGTGTATATATATATATGCGTATATATATAATATGTAACTATGTATATATATGCGTAGCAATAAAAATACTCAATATATGCAATATATTAATATTTATTTATTTTTATCGTTCATATATATAATTTTATAATGATTTAATTTTATAAATATATTTTTTTCATAAATAAACAAATAATGCATGACATATTTCACTAAATTTATCTCAACAAATATTATAATTAAAATAATTACCAAAAATTCCTCTTTATTACATTAAAAATCTATTTGGACCTTATTTTTTAAAAATCGAGCATCATGGATCGAAATCCATACTAATCTCGAGATTCAGAGCCAGCCATATGATTCAAATTCAGAGCGGAATAGACACTTTGAATAACATTTCACCGGTTAAGCTATCCAAATTCGGTATTTTGATCTTAACTTTTATATATCATTATGATTTTTATTTGATTAAAAGAAAATGAAGATACATATTTTGATCTTATTAGATATTGTTTAATAAGTTTTGGGGGGTGACATTTCGGTGTATTGTTCAAGATGAAGTTTTACAATTTATGATTCAAAAGAAATGTTGTAAACTTTGATCTCAAAGTGGAGAAAGAAGAAGTTTTTATAGGTATATGGTCTGTGAAGCAAAGTGTACAGGTAAAATCCTCAATTTTTTTTGTTACATTATAATATAATAGCAATGGTATAAGTATGTAGAAGTGAATGTTCAATCGTATACAAAGAATTGAAAAATGGTAAAATATAATATCTTTATATAGATGAATGTAGATCGAAACATTTTATATAAATTTTTTTAAAAAATATTATGTATATTTTATTATTCTAACATTTCCTATTAATATTCAATTAAAAATATTGAAATAAAATTTTCCCATGATGAAAGGAGAAATACAGTAAGACTATACATGCATTTCATCCTGAAAAAATATGTAAAATTACTCTAAACATATTTTTTTTTCAAAAAATATATATGAATAATTTTATATTATAATAATATAATGATATTTAAATTCTTTCATTTCTTCATATATATATATATATATATATATATATATATATTTTTACTACATATAATCACGCGTCGTCGCGATCTCATCTAGTATTATTAAATAGTAATTGATTTCGACATTAGGGCATTCACAAAATATTACATAACGTCCACATTATTTCAGTTTTTCATGACCAATGTACTTTAAAAAAAAAAAACAGACCAACAAATTACATCAGATATTTCTTGGAAAAGCGACATTTAATCTATCAGCATACATGAGGTGTAATAGAGAGGAGGGAGCAGAGTCCAAAATCGTGAAGCCCAGTGGGAGACTGAACCAAAAACAAAAGTCAATAATCAATGTTACTTTTTATAGCCATACTTAACAAGTATCTATCTGCCTGTCGTCGTGGTTGATACACGTGGGATCATCCTGGCCGTCCGTTTGCTCATGATGATCATGATTCCGGCCGTCGATATTGATGGGGGACAGACTCCGTCATCCTCCTCCCGTCTCGAAATTTTTTCAACCCGACTGATTGTACGATGGAAAAAACCACAAACCGCTAAACCCATCAGATCGAAATCGCTGATTTTGAGATTATCCGAATTCAGCAAAAAAAAAAATATTTCGAATCGAGGGTTCGATCTACGCCTATCGAAAACGATCAGAGAAAAAAACCAGGCAACAAACTCAAACTAAGTTGAACTTTCTTTGTTTCTATTACAAAATCCAATATGGTATCAGAGCCTTCTCTAAACAGAGAATGGCCCTGGTACCATATCGAACTTTGCAAAAAAACAATGGAAAGAAAATAAAAATGGTGGAACAGAAGGAGAGGGAGAAAGAGTGCGGCTATGGAGATCGAAGGAGAGGCTATTAGGGTTAGAAGTTCAAAGGGCTTTTTTATAAGGGGAGGAGAGAAAGGATACTTGAGAATGAGATATATCTAAATGCGATTAATGGGTCCAAACCCGTATGGGCCTTTTCGATATTTAATTATTTCATGGGCTTTTAGTAAGAAGAGAGAGTTCATGCTTAGTTTTTTTCTCTCTTTTTGGTACGTTATTTTTTGTCAGTTTAGGACAGGAGGCGCGACATATTGTGTTATTTTTGTCTAATGCAATAAATATGGGTGCAGAGTCATGCTGTAGAGCAGCAGACATGTTGTTTTTGTTAATCATGTTCATTCTCAATTTCGTGAGAGAATATTATTTTGAAAAAATCGCTTATATATATATCTAAATTTTTATAAAAATCTTAAAATATTTAAACTATAAAATTTTTATATAAATAGTTGATTTTTTTTTAAAAAAATCCCATAAAAATATCCAAATTTTTAATTTTTTAAAATAAACTTAAAATTCGATAATGATGTTGACTATTTTTATTTGAAAAATATATAAAATTTAAATTTATTAGGAAAATTTTCAAAAATCTAGATATTTATATAGGATTTTTAAAGTTTTAGTATTTATATAGATATTTATATGAGATTTTAATAAAAATTTAGATATTTGTATAAAATTTTCTATATTATTTTTATTGTTATTCGTGAATATTCTTTTTTTCGTTACGCGTTAAATTGGATAGGATAATCCTCAATTTTCCGGAATCATCAACACAAACTCATCAAATCGGAATCTAAAAAATTGAATATTTTTATTTTATCGGACTTTGAACTCGTCTTATCAATTTACCCCAAAATCGAATATTTTTCACGCGGCATTATATCAAAATTACCTTTACTTTACTATTTTGACTTCAACACATATTTTTCTCCACATGTAACCATGTGATCCGTGTGACAAAATATAGTGTGGTCACATTTTGATTTTATTGATTATAACGTTAAATTTATTGTGATCATATTAATTCATTATATTCATACTTTATATATCTTACTAATAATTTGATTAAAACATCATAAATTTAACGTTATAAGTAATGACATCAATATGTGACCATATTATATTTTGAGTTATATGGATCACATGATCACACCTGAAAAATGATATATATTGAGGTCAAAATAACAAAATACCCCATAGTTTCGCCTTTATGAAATACTTGTTACAAAAGAAGCCCGGAAATATACATTTTTTTTCCTGAGACAAAATAATCGTTTGAACGGGCTTAAAGTTGGTACATGGCCCACGGGCCCACGTCACCCCCTCATGATGCCTATTTTTACCCGTGTGTATATATAATTATATACACATGTGTGTGTGTATATATATATGCAAGGCCACGTGGTAGATATTAAAAAAAAAAGATGTCTGACGAATTCGGGATCCAGAACATATTTGAACATTTTTTTCTTAAAAAAAAGAAACATGTAATTCAAAGATGTACGGTACCTCATGTTCAGAGGAAAAAAATAACGTTGCTCTGTTAATCACCTTATTCACAACCATGAAAACCAGACCCATCATAAAAACGACATCTTTTTTCTCGATCGATCATTTTAGTCAACGGTCAACATGGAAGAGTGGAATCGCCAAGTGTCAGGTGGTTGTTTGTCCACGTGTCACCGCCCCATGAATCTAGGAGGAGGACAAAAGTAGTGAGATGGGCAGCAGCTCAGTCCTCTCTTGTCTCTTTCACAGGTCACACATTAGTGAGAAAACGACACCACAACAAAAGATTATCCCAGGACGAAAACTATAAGGTCAGTCCATTTATTCTCCGAGCTAATAGTAATAATGATAATAGTATTTGATTTCGACATTAGGGCATTTACGAAATGCCACATAACGTCCATATTATTTCATTTTTTTTCATGACCAATGTAAATTGACAAGAGTTGTCAACCATAAACATAAAATTTACTGTGAAAAAAAAACAGAAACTAAGAAATCTCATCTTCACAAGAACAGAAAACCAAAAACAGGACGTTCAGACAAAAGTCAGCAAACCATGTCTACTTACAATGTTATTCTTTTTTATAGCCATGGAACCTCTTAACAAGTTGTCTCTCCCTCCGCGGTCGCATCTAAGTGGCTGTCGTCGTGGTTGATATATGTGGAATCATCTTGGCCGTCCGTTTGATCACGGTTCCGGCCGATGATATTGATAGGGACAGGCTCGGTCAGAATCCTCCCGTCTCGAGGAGGCGAGAAGAACACGGGGAGGTAGAGCTCGGCCTGGCCCGGGAACTTTGAGCTCTTGAAATGTTCCTTTAGAGCCTCCAAACCCTTTAAACGTTAGGAAAGAAGTCAATAATTATGATATTTTGTGCATCACCCATCATCCAATATAATGTCAAGAGGATGAAATATGAATCACAAATCTAACTTTATCAAAACTTTCCATAACAGTTTATCAAACTCATAGCATATTTGTTAGAACATTAGAAAGATGGCTAAACTTGTCATATCTTTGTGAATCACCCATTGTCCAATATAATGCCAAGAGGATGAATTATGAATCACAAATCTAAATTTACCATAAAGTTCAAACCTTTCACTTTCTTGATAACAAAGAGAATTCTTAGAACATGCGTGCTACTCGTTTTTATTTTAACAGACCGATAGGCGAAAATGTACCTGAACTCTAGCGTACGTGATCTCGCAGATCTTTCGGGAGTTGAATACCTCCCAACGTTGAAGATGAAACGCCTTGTAAAGCCTCCAAGCCGCCTCCGGAGTAGTCATGTTCACAAACCCATATCCCACATTGCACTTGTTGCTGTTTTTCGTCATCACCACAAACCGAACAAAAACCACTAGCTATATCATCTTCAAGAACAATAATCACAATCACGAAAAACGTAAACGAATGATCATATGATTTCGTTACTTGAAATCCATCGGTAGATAGACGAAATCATAGGACGACAAAGGCCGGGACTCATCCCCGGGTTCAGCGACCTGTTCGTTGATGCGAATGCAGTGGCCGTCCAGCACATTCAAGAGCAGCTTTTGACTGCCAAAAAGCATGACCCCTCATACAATATCGACATTTTTAAATATCACAGCAAATTTCCTAGTACAAATATGTGGGAATGTTTTCTAAGATTTTGGAATCTGAATATAAGAGCATTCAGAAAAAGTTTGGTCAATGTGTATATTCAAACCATAAGGACAATAAAAGCATGGAACATAAAGATTAGGAGGAATTTTATCTGGAATATAAATCTTTCTCAAAAGATATTACCATAGATTAAAACAGCATCTTGCCCACAACCACACAAATCCATATATTTTAATCTTATAACAAAACAGGCAGACATATCTCATGCTTCGGATCATGGTTATATGTCCGGATTCTCTTTGAAATCAAGTTAATACCAAGCATTGACCCATGAAGAAGAGAAATGGAAATCATATACCTATACTTGTTGGGTATGTTCTTGATCATCAAAGTGGTACGTGGATCTCTAAAACCCGAATCCTCAACGGTTTCTTCGCTTATAAGAAACTGAGCATCCAAGCTCTTAACATGCCTTCTCTTCCCCCACTTAGCCCACGAACAAGAAATTCGATTCTTCCCTTCACCAGCACCCGAGACTGTTCCTCGAGGGCTATTTTCGATACACAGCGAATGCACCGAAGCTTCGATGGAGCCATTAGGGTTTGTATCTCCCGAGAAAATCATCGGTTTCTTCTTCTTCTCCTTCGTGGAAACCAGTGAACGGTCCGAGACAGGTTGGTGCAATAGAGGAGGTGGAGGCTGAGGATGTAGACGGAATTTGTTCCTACGGCCACCTGGACGGCTGAATTCGATCCCCACTTGCTTCCCGTTTATTTCCTTACCGTTCATATCCTCAAGGGCCTTAGCCGCATCACGTACATCATAGAACTCCACGAATCTCTGGTTTTGCTTGAATGGCGTCCCTCTCAGTTCCCTGATCGGACCTGAAAAGAGTGAAGTGAAACAGTCACGAAGACATGAGAACATGGTTTCAGACCATGAGTTCAACTTCTGTTCTATGTCCTAAGCTCGTTTCCTCAACCGACCGTCACATGTCTAACGTACGGAAATATCGAGAAAACAGAATCTTGATCCTCGAAGCCCTTCCTCCGACGTGAGAAACCCCATAACGCAATAAGAAATGTTGTCTCCCCGACGTAACCCACAAACCCAGGAATGGAATAATTCAAGAACAGAAAACAGAATCTAGGTTCCCGAGGAACACGAACCGTAAACTTGGAAAATCTGTCTGAGAGACACAGAAGAAACCGAAGGGTCCAGGTTGAAGATCACCAACGTGCCCTGGTTAAACCCGCCGGGGACGACGCTGGTCGCCGGAACCACGAACTGAGCCCACACGGCTCTCCCACGTACGAGCCCACGTGATGGAACCGGCGAGGGCGGTGAGCTCCACGCGCCGAGCATGAGCTGTTGGTGCATGTGCTGAGCACAAATCTCGCGCAGCGCCGTCTCGGCGTCTCTCAGGTCGTAGAAATGTACGGTCACGATGCCTTCGTACGCTCTCTCCATCTGCACGCCCCGCACGTCTCCGTACACCTCAAGGTCACGCCTCACCATCGACTCGCTGACGTCACTCGGTACGGAGATTAGCGCCAAGGCTCGAGTCGGCGACGTCGACGGACGAGGAAGCTGCGGCGCCGGAGAAACACCAAAGTACGGCGGCGGAGTGGGGGCGTTGAAGAACGTGACGACCCGAGGACTCGCCGGAAAACCGTACGGATACGGAAGCGGCGGAGGAGGAGGAGGAGGCGGAAGGTAAAGTTGGGTCGGGAGTGGAATTCGGGTCGGGTAGGTGGTGATAGGGTTCATGGGTAAGAACTCCTGCGCACGCGGGTCGAGGTTCCCGGCAAAGAGGAAAGCTCCGGCGTCGTCCATGGAAGGGTATACTCGTCGGAGAGTGGTTTTCCGGGGAACGTGTAACGGCTAGCGATCGTGAGAAGGTACCGTACCGCCTCTCTCTCTCTCTCTCTCTCTCTCTCTCTCTCTCTCTGTGTGTCCACGGACAAGACAGTGAGAGAGAACAAATATTTTGCCTTTTCTCGTTCCAAAAGCTTTTAAGTTTCCCGAAATGGCCCTTTTAATCCGATGTGCCAGTTGTGAATTTACCTTAATACCCCTACTCCCATGGTAGCCCGGTTTTTGGTTACGAGGCACGATTACGATTACCCCCACTCTACACGTGGAATATGTTCGACGTTCAATATTTTTTAGACTCGTTATGTAAGAAAAAAATGAATCAAATGGCATTTTATCGTACAAAAAAAGACATATTATTTAAAACATACATTATAAATAATCAGTAAATTTTGTGAACCGATTAGACATCGCCCCGAAGATAAGGTGAAAAAGGGTGGAGTGTAATTTAGTAGGATATAGGGGGGCCTTTTTGTCTATTCATACTTCTAATTAATTCTTTTGTCCCACTCTCTGATATATTATTATACACGATGTTAAATAAGTATCTTTTAACTCGATGTTTGTCTCACCGTTTGATATTGAATGTTTTTCTAATATATCTAGATTGAAAACATGCGTATTCCCTTCTATATTTTTATAAATTTAAAGACGCTATTGAAAATATGCGTATATAACAAATGACCAATAATTATACTAAATAAGAAACTATATATAACTCGGTTATTAGGATTGCCAAGGGAATCGTTACGTACGTAAGAAAATGTAAGTGGGAATTAACTGTGCGTTAATTACGTAGATTCTTGACGTTAATAATTAATTAATTTATTTATATATTAAAAAAGTAGAAGGATTGGTAAACACTAAGCAGCAGTGACCAAACACACGTGCACATGAAAAGTCTCGGTTCGAGAAGGAGGCTCTCCAAAACCAAAGACCAGCCCCCATAATCTTGATCTCCGTTTCCTTTATTTTTTCTTGTCCCTTTTCCACGTTCCTGTCTTTTCTTTCGATATACACACACACATATTATATATATATATATATAAGATGATGTGTATAGCATTGGAAAGTACACTCAGTTTCACAATGCAAGTCTCTAAGCCAAGTTCAGTCTTTTAAGTACGGTCTGAATCTTTCAGTTTACTAAACTGGGATTTGTACCTTTGAGCAAGACCAAACACACCAAGAGTGCCACCAGTGTGAAGCATTACTACCGTCGAGTCCTCGGCCTCTTCTTCAACGGCAATACCAGCTGCTGCTTCCCATCCTGCAAGAGTATAGACCGGATCCACCAGAACGCCAGTTTCCTGCGCTATTTTCCGACATATCTCCATTTCTCCTTCCAGTACTTTCCCGAATCTTCAAGAACGGAGAGAAAACACATGATCAAACCACTCAAAAACGCCGAGGATGAATTCATGATACGGTAATGTGTTTTTGTAGTGGGAAAAGTTGCAAACTTTCTCGGGTGACGACGTTCTATCCAGTTTACCAGGCCCCCATCTACTTCGTTTAGTTTGATGTGGAAGATCGGAGGAAGGAATTGCCTTGTGAACTCCGAAGCCAAGCGTTCTACTTGTCTCTTATAATTGTCCAATGTATCAGCCAGCATCACCGCCTTGATCTGCCATGGAAGCCTGAGAAACGTCGGTAATCAGGATCGAGAAATCGTTTCACAAGAAAATTGCATTACATATATTAATAAATTGTTTGAGCAGACCCGAAGAACATTGCTGCAAGTCCTAGCCCGACAGCAGTTGTCCCAGTTCCAGCATCAACGATGAACTTGACGGGTCTTTTCTTCCCAAGTAAATGATCCTGTGATAAGTATTGCACCAATCGGATCATACCTGAATAGAGACAGAAACCCTTGTAAGACAGATAAAATACTCATGCAGGTATGATTATGGAACCTTAGATGATCAAGATCCACATTATCTAGACCAGGTTCCTTCATTGAAAACAAAAATTCGTTCTGAAACTGATGTTTACCCAGTAATGCAATAGCATCTCCGGCACCTTCATTGACAATCATAACCTTCCTGGGAGAAGTTTTGCAACACGAAGAAGCATCCAGTCCTGCAATGTTCATCGTCTCGGCTGATTGATTTATCAGCCGAGCCTCCTCAACTACGTCCTTACACCATAAGACACGCCCCTCTTTCC